GTAAGGAGACGTATAATGTACTTTATATTTATTTTAAATATCAGACTATCTGGAGTATTGTTGGTGAAGTTATTTTAGTTTTATATTTCATACGCGCTGGTTATAGAAACTCTAGGAAAGAAACGTTACAAGACTGCAGTAATGCATTTAAAGAAAAATGTTATGGCCTAAAACATCTATGTTGTGTTACTTTTCTGACTTTTATTAACGTGACATTTACGTATACTTATTTCCCATGTTTTAAATTATTATCCTAATTGTGTAATGATATAGAAAAGTTTTTAAATGTCTTGAAAACTGTTTATTATTCTAGAAGGAGGCGTTACTTAATGTTTTATAAATATGTAACAAACACCCTTTTTACACGGAGGGAGGCCCACCAGCGGCCGAGCGGTAAAGTCGCTGAACACTGGTAGTTCGGTCCGAGGTTCGAATCCCGCGAACGGGCTGGCTGCATGGGCGTTTTCGTGGTTTTCCCCATGTGTAACGTGTATTTCCCTTAGAAAGTCCTCCACGAAGGCATCCCTCCTCTTAGGCAGATAGCCCTCGAGGCTTTGCCATACTCACACACATACACGGAGGGACATGAGCGTATAATTAATGCCTGATATAAGATATGATTATATAAATAACAGATCCCTTTCTGGAAAACTCATTTTTCGAAATGAGCATGAGCCATGATTGCATAGGCTTCAGAAATGTCATTCAAATTAACTGTGATCGTTTGGTACATTGAATCGGAAAAAATTAATCGCTTAGTAAGGAAAATATGTATATTTACTTTGTCTCAAAAGGATCAGTAAAACCAATATATGATAATTTTTTTAATTATTGCATAAAAAAGTGTAGTCTGTTCTGTTTCTGATGGTATATCATGTTAGTTAATCGAAGAAGTAGACGTTTTAATATTTAAGGAGTTTTATTAAAGTGCTCCACAGATGTGATATTTAAAGGGCTTTTTCAAAATGTAAACAAAGGACTTATTCTCACTTCACTTCATGCCCTGCAGTATCGCTACATCTTTTGAGTTTTCTTTGAAGTTATTTTATTATCAATGGAGCGGTAAGATTTAGAAATTATTAATTTGATAATTATTTTTGATTGAATTGTGTTTGTTGTTTATAGTTTTAACTAGTATTGGTGTCACTGTATGCTTTTTAAATTTTGTAATAATTTATTGCTACTATTAAAATTATTTAATGGTATCCTGCAATATTAAAAACTCATTTCGAAAGGGTATAAAGACATACCTAAGAATGTTTTAGGATATTAACACTTTCAGAACTGGAAGCATAAATTTCTTGTAGTAAACCTTTACAGATTTTAATATGTAGTTACTTAAAACTCATCTATTAATAAATTTTTCAGTTATATAATGGGATAAATCTTAAGAAAATGAAATAACCTTAAATTCCAGTAAAACTGTGAATCTGAACTTGCATTCAGAAAACTTTTTGATGTCACTTGAAGCTTCAAAATTAGAATGCCTTCTCTTAATTGCAAGAAATGTGACGATCATGTTTTGATTGCAGTTTGATTTTCTGCTTTGGGAAAATGATACAGTAAGTGTGTGTGGGATAGAATGAGTGTTATGTCATTATAATGCTAATTTTTTCTGGCACAGCTTTAGTATTAGTCCTTTCTGGCGAGAAATTTTTTGGCGCGATAAATGAAAAATTATGATAACCTTGTTATTTATGGTAACCCTAAATACTGAGCTGGAAAAACATGCCGCCATTTCTGCCCACGTAACTACCGAATTTGGTAGTTATCAGAGCTTTGATGGCAGGAGGGATAAACTGCATGTTTTTCTTAAAGTTACTTTCATGTTAGTAAAGCACAACATTTAAAATATTTTAAAAAAAGCCAAAATTTAATAGTTAAAACTGATGCTTTTAATATTACATCACATGAGTCTTGACATTTTTTCATATGTCAACTCAGCATATTATATACTCCATTCTTTCTTCCCCAAAGAAAAAAAAAAAAAACACCTTTTTAGTAGCATGAGGTAAACTCATGGTGTTTTCGTTGCTAAAGCATGCAAATTTAGACTTCTTAAAATGGGCTATGATCAGAATTACCATGGTCTTAATAGATGTTCTTTTTATAAATCAAAATTTGTAAATTATGTTCAATTTTTCATAACAGTTCAAAGACAATCTGGATGTTTTTATCAAATTATTTTTTTTATAATACTCATATTAAGTCATTGACTTGTATAATTAAGAATGTTTGGCAGATCTAGAAATCTGTTATGGGTGTATTTGATAATTTATCAAATAATATGTGCATTTGAATTTTACACATAAGCCAAATTAAGTGAAACTTTGAGGGGGAAATTATAAACTGAAATGTTTTCTTTCATTTTGCATGCAGACTGTGTTGAATGAATATTCTGAATAAGATTGCGTGAAAATTTTAAGGTTAAATAATTAATGTGCCCGTATGTGTTGCCAAAGGTTTTATTAAAATGTTGATTTTTGTAACAGCAGTTTTTACAAATAATCATATTTTTATTTTAATGCAATAGCTTATGATTGATAATGCACTGCTTTTTATGATGATATAAATTTTTGGTAAAATAACTGTCTTGAATTTCTGCAATCAGATAGTTATTTTTTAAAAATCTGTCAGTTGTAGATGACAGTTCTTGTTTAAGATGATCTGACGTAAAGTAGCATTTTTTTCATTAATCTGACTAGGAAGTACTGTGAATAGATTTTATTTAAAAAAATGTGCTTACTTAATAAAAAACTTCCTGGGTTAAAATTTACTTTACAGTACCCCTTGGTAGGCCTGCGCCAAGCCTAATCGGAGCCATCGTGCAAATGTCTAGCGAGCGCCTTTATGCAGTATACTCAGTCTTTTGCTTATGGTTAACATTTAAAAGGAAGTATTATTAACATAATATGAAAAACCAAAAAAATTACATTTTATCTTTTAGTTTGTCTAAATATGCAAACATTTCTTGCTTTGTTAAAACTCACACTCAAACATATTTATTGAATTGTACATACATTTATGTTGTAAAAGCTGCCCAACTGGTATAGTGGTTAGCGTTGCCGACTATGGTGCTTAAGGGCCGGGTTCGAATATCTGAGAAGGCATAGATGTTTGTAAATGTATAGTGTCTGTGTGGTATGGGGGCACTCTAAATATGCGAGGTGAAAGTCCTCTCGAAAGGTTGGTGGTAAGGGAAGAGGATGGGAGATGCTCAGACTCGTCCCTCCCCCCAGGATTCTCTCCATCAAAATTGGGGGTGAAAATGAGCTTAGTCACACTGTCACCTGTAAGGTGCTCAAGGCTGTTGCCAATAGCAGGCATATCATGCGCTCCTTGTCACGAGGAATTTCGTGGGCTTGGGCTGACTGTAGGTCTGACAAGTGAGCATGAGTAACAACAGCAACATGCTATAAAAATGTAACACTGCAAGCGAAGCGAAATAATATACTAAATGCATTGGATAAAAAAATATGTTGCTGAACACTATTTATTATCTTAAAATTAAAAACAAATTAAGTTTAATCTCTGGATTATGGTAACTTGGCAATTTTTTGGTGAAAATTTGGCGAACAACCCTGCTACAGTAACCTGCTAGTTTTTGTTTTCACGAAGTAAAGGCATGTTTTTTTTGCTTTTTTTACTCAAAATTTTTTTCAACAGTCTGCTACGAATTACGCTTATGCTAGAACTTTTATGGAACAAAAATGCTTAATCATGATGAAGATTAGGTGCGAAATTGGGAGAAAGTGGAGAATCACAAACTGCTTGCCGCGTTTTTAAGAATTGCACATACACGGTATCCATGTTATCCATGTACACGTCGACCTATTTTCACTTAAAAAAAGAATCCCAGAATTGCACAAAAATGACATTGCGGCATACTCTTGACTTTATCCACGTACACTGCTAAAGTCCTAGCTAGTAACCTTTATCGTCTTACCAAAATGTCGCCAAACTACCTGTTATCATATTCCAAAGATTAGCCAAAATTAATGTCGATATCTAATAAGTTTGCACTGAATAAACTGTTCGCAGCGTTGTTTATGACAAGGTTAAAACTGTGATTAAAAAATGCTGTAGCGGTTGATATCTAGGGATATATGCAAAATACTCTTATGTATGCCGCTATATTGTTGAAAACGGTATAGCTTAGAATTTCAACTGGCGATGCTTCATTTCTTCCAAAAGATTGCAAAACTGCAGTTCATACGTAAGATCTATATACTATTCATATCACTTTGATTTTTATCAGTTAATGCTTTTTGCAGTTTTTACGTAAGTTGAGCTGATCTTGTAAATGTATATGTGTGTATATGTATGGATTTGTACGTGTATGTAAGGGTACAGGCCGGCGCTGTAGACTCAGTTGACAAATTGCTTAGTCCTTATTTTGTGTCTACTGTTGCAATGGTGGTAATTTGTGCAACATTTGTCTTTTGTGATTTTTTTTGGTGACTGATTGTTGTTGAAATTCTACATAAAAAAGTTAAGTGCAGTTACATATTTGTTAAACTTAAGCTAGCTTTTTAATTCAGAAAAGCAACAATTTGATCATAATTACTCGAAAAATGTTTTTGTTACATGAACCATTTGTTTTTTAAACTAAAAATTATTATCCTTTCAAGAAGAAAGGATTGACATGTTTACGGAGTACCACTGAATTTAAAATATACCTATTTGAGATTTGAAGCAGTATAAATATACAAGGTATTCTAAAATCAAAAACAGGCCATTCTCTGATTTTTAGTTATATGGAAAACTGAAGGAAAATGTTTGGTTATTTCATTATGTCTTAGATACATACTTTAAATTTGAGATTTACTTTAATAAACAAAAGAGTAGTACCACCTCCTTGAATTATTTGGTATTGATCTAATAGTTTATATACTTTCCAAGCAATGATCTAAGATATACTCAGTTTTTCAGAAGCAAGGTAAAATATTTCAAACAGTGACTTTCCGAGTGTTTTTAAAAAGAAGTGTTTTACGTAACAG